GGAACTCTGCAAAAAACGCATCTTCGCACGGGCAGCCCGTGCGTTGGCCAATTTTTCATCTTGAGATCTACAAAAGCTACAGGGCTGAAACTATGGGAAGTTAATCTACATGCATGTACGGGCCACCATCCCAAAAATTGGCGGTTTTGCCCGCGTGGTACCCATGTACAGGCCCGTGAAACTTTTCTGTGGGTAAGTTGCTAACTCGGGAACCTGAAAAACTAGAAGGCTGAAATTTTAAGGGGATTTTTCTCGTCCAGTTAGGCATTAATGAGTTCAAACTTAGCCCTCGGGTAAGCGTGGTACTCACATACGGTTTCGTGAAAGTTTCTCCCGACTAAGTCGCTAACTCAGAAGCCATGAAAGCTTGAAAGCTGAAATTTTGAGGAGGTGTTTTCTGACAGTCCTGGGGGCCAGTTTGAAATCCTTTTAGCTAGAAGCATATGTCGGAAAAAACAGTGCCGTTAGCGACAAAAATCTGCGGGAAACCCTGCAAAAAACGCATCTTCAAACAGGCAGCCCGTACGTTGGCCAATTATTTGAGACAGATTTCATTTTATCTTTTGTTAATCGCTATCTCTCATCGGTTAAATTCGCTAGTCAATTTTCGCTATCTTCTCCGTTCGAACAAACGATTTGATACCTTTGAGAAAATGATGCTAAAAATGGAACACTACGAGTTCAGGTATGTTGTTAATAACGAGTAAGAGAGTTACTTGTGTACTGGTACTTGCACTATCGTCGACGTCGTCGTCATCTTCCAGCGTGACAGGATGTGAAGCAATATAGTCCATTTGTTCCCTGGTTGGAATGCTCAACGACCAGTCCTTTAAATAATTTTGAGAAAAATAAAGACAAAAATTATTGCAAAATTGCAGAGCTTTACTCACGATAATTGAAAAGCAAAAAATTTCTAAAGAGGAATAACTACCTGGAAAGTTTCGGAAGTTTCTGAAAGCTGATGACATGTGAGGCATTTAATAACGCTACGCAGACGTCCGTCAAAAACATCTGTCACCAAGCTTCTATAAAAAATCGGCGTTCTGGTTTGTGTGCTGCCTAAAAATACGAAGATCAGAGGATTTGCCTAGCTTTCATTTTCCATTATAGGATGTGGCAAAAATTACAGAACTCTTAAAATATCAATATATTTTCCAAATCGAGTTACGGGATATTGTGGATGAGGCGAGCTTAGGGCGGAATTCGGTGGCATGGCTGTTGGCTAAGTCACCGGAGAAGATCAACAGCGTGTCAGTGACGGAAACGCCGTATCAAGTATATTTTTCAAATAGCTGCATAAGTCTATCTTTCATGTTATGCTAGAAAAAGCCTTTGCCGTAATTTAAAAGCATAAAAGGAGGGGAAGATGGGAATTTTAAAGCAAAAAATAGTATAAACAAGAACTAGAAAGTGTACAAGAGTTACCTATCACCTACAATGCGATTTAAGGTTGAAGGGAAAATATAAGAAAAAATGATGAAAAACATGAAAAGAATTATTAAAGTAGGTAAGTCTGACGTTCACCCTTTCTCCACCTCCTAATTTTGCAAAATCTTCCGATGCAATTCTGCCACGGCGCTGATGAGCATTCAGTCATTTCAGAAATACAGGAAAGCATGTGATGTAAAGCCCTCGCATTGGCGGGAGGTAAGACAGTGATCTCTATGTTTTGCTCGTTTGTTGTGTGTGTTGTATTCGGTAGAGGGCTATGAGCAAGATTAAGGGACGGCCAGTGCGTCTCCGCAAGTGCACAATGTGTGCACAGTTCACAATCGCTGCCGCCCTATCGATTAATCCTCGGCCACCGCGTGCACCGTGCTCGCACCGCTGACCCTTGCCCCATGCCGGCTGTCTTATTCTCGCCGTGCGCCGCTGTTTCCTTTGTAATTAACGTTGTAATTAAATCTTTACTCACAACTTTTGGTTGCAGCGTACCTCGTTGCAACGGGGCAAGATTCGGGTCTGGGTTAGCCTAGGATTGAGGCAACCTTTTTCATATCTGGAAGCTATACTCCGTTAAGCAAAACAAAGCATCAATACTATAAATTAATGTTTGTACTTGCCGTACAACTGTGTCCCCAAAATCTGCAATAATACAGGTAAAAGATTGAATTTTGTAAGCTTACAATCCATCGATTTCTGGTCATTACACTGGCTCAGTGAAGGCAACAAGCAATGGCTGTTCTCATCTTTCGAGCATTTTTCGCCTTTCAAAGCACCAGGCAATTCCTGCAATACGGTGAACATAGTATCAATATCAATAGGCGCCGCAAATTCTGTCATAAGTGTTTTCGGGAAACTGATGTTTGTCAGAGCGGATTTTATAAAAATCCCCCCCTTACGGGACCAAAAATTTCAAGCAAAAACGCCAGGATATCGATATCTATATGGAAAAATGAAGACCGCTCTTCTTTACCTCTGGTTTAAACCGAGAGCAAAAATTAAAATATGCAACTGAAAAAAAATATGTGAAAAACCGGTCCAAAATGAGTGTTTTAGTACTCAGCTGGCATGGAGCCAAAATTAGCTAAAGAAGCAAAGGATTTATAAAAAGGAGACTAAGAAAAAAACACTGCTCAAAATAATGTTTGGCAAAGCGAAATTTTCCGATTTTTTCAATTTTCAAATTTCTTTTTTCAGCCCAGCCTTTTTTTT